GTTTAGGAGCAGAGAGTTAACACTGTAAATTTAGTCCCAAAAAATTTTTGGTTTTTCAATTAAAACGTACATGTCTAAATCGAAGTTATGACTCAAAAACTTCCAGACAAATTAATTTAAAACTGTTTAATTATTTTAGAGTTTAAAAGTATTTTAATCTTAATAGTAATTTAGAGGTCAACTGTGATTGGCTAATTTTTTAACATGATGGTTTAGAACCAAAATGTATGTGAATTATTGTAAATAACATGTGTAAATTGATGTATTATTGTCATTTAGATTAGTTTTTTGTAAAAATCGTGACGATGCACAAAGTTGAGAAAACGATGGAAATTTACTTTTTTGCAAATATTTCTTCAGTTTTACTTGTAAACTTGTAATAAAACAAAAAGCGAAAAGCTTAAAATTCTAACTGTTTTCCCATTGAAGGGCCAGTAAAAAACATTTTTTTGATTTTCATCAATGTGTAGGGAATTGTTATAGTGTTTTTTTTAATCGATACGTAGATTATGGCCGTTTTTTATTTGAGTTACCGGAATGTTTCATATTGTACCTTAACACATGTGAGAAAAAGCGTTACGAGAGCCTTGCTACAGCAATTCCGGGCCTATCCTTTAATAAAAACTTGCTGAACCAAGGAAGGAACCTCCGACGATTACTGGAAGGCAGTCCATTGAAGGAGAAAAAAGTGGTTGTGTGGCACGACGTGGTGAACAACACCATTAGCAGCCACAGAACAAGCAACTATCGCCCAGCCGGTGTCGAGGAGCTGACAAACTATCTGAAGTCGAAGAAGCAGCAGATATTGGCGATCATCTATTGAAGAAGGGAAGGAACGCCCGACTTGTTTAGTCAGCTTCTCGGCACAGGAGTGCTCATTATTCCTGCAACAAAACGGCTACACTCCATGAGCAAGCAAAACGACCTGGAGCAGCTCAAGGAATACTTGAAGCTGCACCAGAGTGCTGAATTGGAGCTGAAATTTCTGCGATTGGTAGTGGCACACAAAGAAAGGCTGTCAGAGCTGATTGGCAATATCAGGGGCAAACAATAGAGACCATCACAGAAAATGAGGAAGGCGAAAACAAGACGTGAGTAGAAACTGAAGGCAGAGGAAGTGTCTGCGCTTCAAAGACAGGAATAAGAAGAGTGTGATTTGTTTTGCTTTGTGCCTTGTGAGTTTCATTAGTCGTGGTCTGAAAAACAATGACCACAGTACTTTTGCCTGCTGTTTGGCTCAGACAAATTTCCAAAAGAAAACTAACTTGAAAAATTGTGTTAGACTATTTAAACTTCTATAAAATGTTCAGGTACCTGTAACGATCTAATACCGGACTTTTGAAGTTTAGAGTCCCCGCAAACGGTTTTTCGGACCAAGCTGTGCATAATTTTCAATTAAAACTCCTAAGGACTGAAACTTCTAGGGCAAATGAGGACAGGAATAGGTACGAGGAGATGGTAATGAAGGCAAGATCACTGGTGCAAAACGAAATCGACGAACAGTGGTGGGCATCCATTTTCCGCTTCGTGAGGCGTCAAGTTGAGGCAAGCTTAAAGACAACATCACAAAACCATAGAAAAAAAAAACCTATCCGAGAGACAAGATAAACCGCTCGGGGGGAGAAATGAGCAATCAGTTAAGGTGCTTGATAACATTGAACTGCCTTACTGGGTACATGAAGTGCTATCAATGGGCCCGAAGCATCCTATTAGATACAAATTTAACGATACGCACTTTTTGGTTGATATCGACGTTTTCCTCTCACAATTGAAAAATCAAAAAACATTCGGTTACATTTTAAGCAAAATTGAAGCCGCGGCAAAGGCATATGCAAAAAACGAAAGGCAAACCCCAAAAGATAAAGCCGTTGAAAAAACAAGGAAATATCTCAAAGACAATGGGTTGATGGCTGTGCTTTTTGACAAGGGGGTTGGTTTTTGCACAATGAGGAAACAAACCTATGAATCAAAGCTGGAATCCTTGTTGCAATCTGCGCAGTTTTTGAAAAAAGATGCAACCACTGATGAGGTTAAACCGAAAATTGAGAAAGAACTTAACCAAGAATTACAAGCCATGAACAAAAGAGACAAGATAAGTGATCAATTATCTTCTAAGATGAGGTCAGCAGGGAGACAATCCGCCCATTTGTACGGTTTAGCTAAGGTACACAAGGCTGAGTCACCCCTACGCCATACTATCACTTCCAGGCAGCTCGTATGAGAATCTTAACAAAATGCTTGCAAAGTGTTTTGACAACATCGATGGAGCCAATATAGAAACCAATATTGAGGATGCCAGAGAAACAATTGAAAACATTGCTCGAGATCCTGATGAAACCTTAAAATCTCTTGATGTGAAAAATTTGTACACCAGCGTTCCCGTGAAGGATGCAATTGAAATTGCCTTACAGAAGCTGTACAGCCAGGAGTCTCCTCCTGAAGTTCAAAGAGCAACCATGAAAAGGCTATTGAATATGGCGGTCAGCAAAGTATATTTCAAGTTTAATGTTTCATGGTATTTGCAAGTTGATGGTTTAGCAATGGGCGGGTCCCTCGCTGTAATTCTGGCAAACTTATGGCTGAAAGAGTACGAGTTTCCTCTAAGACAAGAAATACCGATGGGAACGGAGATACAGCAAATTAATGACAGAAATGGTTTGTGCCCATGTTGCAGCAGGAAAGTCACAGACAGGTCAAAGGGGGTTGAATGCGAGAGCTACTCAAACTGGTATCATCTAAAATGCGGAAAAACATCCTATGACGTATATGCATCAATAACCGAGATAGTCTGGTACTGTGAAAGCTGCTGCCGCGCTAAGAACAAGGAGAAGGATACTCCCCAGGTGAAATTGTTCCTCAACTATGTGGATGACATTGTTAGAACAGTCAGAGTGGAGCCGAACTGTCTTCTCGATGCCGATTCTCTTTATCCAAATCTGCAGTTCACTCTAGAGGAAACTAACTCGGAGGGAATTTGCCGTTCCTAGATTTGAACATAAATGTATCGCAGACAAGGGCTGTAACTTGCAGTTGGTATCAAAAAGCAACAAATACAGAAACTATACTGAACTATAGAAGCTTCGCTTCAACTCAGTATAAGCGTAGTGTTATACAAGGCACTGTACACAGGGTTTTTACTACTACTACTACTACTACAACTACTACTACTAAAAGAATTTATTCCCTTTAAAATATAAAGGCATCAAACAAAAGAAACGGTATGATTATGTACACAAGACATCACGAACGACAATTTATGCAATGGCAACAAAGTAGCATTGAACAAGAGTTGTTTAAGTTGAACATATCAAATTTATTTTTCAGATAGATTTTCAATTTTGCTTTGTTGTTTGCTGAAATCATGTTGGCATACCGATAGACGCGATAGAAGGAAAATTGCTCTGTAAAGAAGAGTCGACAATTCCGGGTTGTTGAAAGCTTAGGGCGTGAGCTATTGCGAAGGTCTTTGACTGCAAAGTTAAAATTTATGTATCTGTAAAGGTCGAAATCAAATTGATCAGTCAGGACTCGATTAAGAAAACACATATCATGTAAAGCTATAGTGAAGGAAATTGGCAAGGAATTCGTTTTTCCAAGTTGTTCTGTATAGTCGTTCACTCCCGTTATCCATTTCAAACATTTTCTGTTAAATAATTCTAGTTTGCGGCGATATGTTAAAGATGGAAACCAGACCTGACTACCGTATACTAAAATACCCATAATACATAGCTGGTATTATTTGAATTTGGTTCTCATGGATACTCCATAAGGGATTGAACGTTTTAATCGTACATCTAGCTGGAGCAATTTGATAAGGCTATGGAAACTAACAGGGCGCAATGGCTGACAAATCAGTACCCAGAAAAATGGTCCGCAAAGGTGGCTTCAGACGCCCTGTGCAAAATTATTGACGGTAAGGGCAAGCCCCTGTATAGTAAGAGGTGTTTGTCAACTCAATCACCAAAGGATGTGAAGCTCCCAATGCTGATGGTGCAATATAGAGGTAACCAAAGCCAATATTTTGCTAACAGGTTTTGAAAACTAACTAACTTTCAAGTGGTTTTCACCAAAAGAAAACTTGAATCTTGTTTACCATCACTGAAGTCAGCATTTCCTACTGGCCTCAAGTCAAGAGTGGTTTATAAACTGTTATGTAGTGGATGGCAGACTCACCGGTAGGCCTCCACCTTCAGCAATGCCAACTTGAGAGAAATAGCGCAGATCTTGGGAAATTATAGATATGCCAAACAACCAAACAAAATTGTTAACACTAGAGGCAATACATATCAGGAAAGATAAACCGGGCTCGAACTTGCGCGATGGGTTTAGGAGCAGGGAGTTAACACTGAAAATTAAGTCCCGAAGTTTTTTTGGTTTTTTGTTTAAAACGTACATGTCAAAATCGAAATTTTTAATCTTAATAGTAATTTAGAGGTCAACTTTGATTGGCTAATTTTTCAACATGATGGTTTAGACCAAAATGTATGTGAATTATTGTAAATCACATTTGTAAATTGATGTATTATTGTCATTTAGATTAGTTTATTGTAAAAATCCTGACGATGCACATAGTTGCGAAAACGTTTGAAGTTTACTTTTTTCGCAAAAATTTCTTCATTTAACCTCATTGAAAAACTTGGAAAACTTATCATACTATCATTACATCTAAATCCTATACAGAACAAAATCATATCAATTCAAGCTCAAACATATGGACTTAACTTCGTTCCCTTGGAGACAAATTCTGTATTTTTATGATTTATTATATCATTGTAGTGCTCAAAATCTAATTCCTATCGTGATGTACTTTCTGCGTAATGGTTTTAATTCTGCGAAAAACGGGTCGATAATCCAGATTTGGATTTTTTGGCTGTTCGGAACAGAAAATGCGCCTTAACTTTGTAGTGTCTTGTTTTGAAATTTTCGATAAATTTGAATATTTTTATTTTTCAGATTATAATATATGGTCCGTTCGAAATATTTGCAACTATTTGGTTCAGGTTTCTTGGGGAATGGGCTACCTGGCAAAGACAGGGCTTCTTGTGCGGAGTCGCAAAAAGATGCAATAAAACACAGACAAACTACCTCCTGTCAGCGCTGGAACCCTTATTTCATAGGGATTATTTGTTGCAAGGTAATAACGTTTTCGAATTATAAGTAGGCACATAAGCCAATCCGAATCGAGATAAGAAAACAAACGTACGAAATATATATTTTTCTCCATTCTGATTGGCTTACGACAGGTCTAATTTATGACCTGTCTACTTTTTGCTACGTAACCACTTAAGCCCTTGTGTTGATAAATTTTCGCAGCTAACTAAATTATGTTTGTAGTTAATTGAAACTTCTTGAGGATTTTAAAAAATATATCGTCGGGTTTCGTGTTTCTGCCGACCTTAGAGCAATTGCGATTTTGTTTAGCCGGAGGGATCTATCCTTGGAGGCTGATCGGGAAAGGGAAGAAACCTCTGAAATTACAAAAAATAAATGGAAATAGATACAAAAAAACGCGTTTGTTGGAGCTAGCCAAGAAAAGGATGCAGTCCAATTCGAATCCGTTGCAAAATGTGGAGCCTGGAATAGCAGTCAACTTAATACTACCACAGTCTCCGGCGCAGAAGGTTAGTTATCTAGTTTTTCAAAAGCTCGCAAAAATATACAAAACGAAATAATTTTTCGGTCACTAATGGGAATGAACACATAACTAGCCAAGCTCTCTGTCATATTACATGCTCGTACCGTATTTTGGCCAAACTATATCGACTGGGTCTTCTAAAGGTGTGACGGATTTTTCAATTTTAACTATTTTGCTCACCTTAAATATCTAATGCTTTCTCTAATTGGCGTTTTTTTTTCATCAGAAAATGGAATTAAACGGTCTTCGTTCTACGGATAGTCCTGACAAACATCCGATACCGAAAAAATCTGCTGGTGAACGTGTTCGAAAAATTTCTGTAGTCGAGCCAGCTGGAATTGAAATATCAAAAGTTCAATCTCCACGTAATTCCTCAATATCTAGAACACCAGTTGATGAACAAATTTTGACCCCTGATGAAGAGAAGCAACTGGGACTGATTGCACAGAAATCGGAAGGGAGGAAGAAATGGCTGAAGCTGAAAACTGTTCAGATGATAGATCCATCTACGCTACTAGGCGATAAAGACAGGTATGTAGTAAGCTAATTTTGCTCTGAAGGTGATGAAGTGAACCCAAATGCTACACAAACCTCGCGAAGCTGTAAAAACTTGAACACTTGTTAGTTAATGTAAATGATCGGTCCATATTTCCTGAAATTATGGTTCGTTTGAAAGTTGGAACGTTATTGTTGCTGTGGTTAAAAGTTTTTTTTTAAACTCGTTGTTAATCTAGGCGAAGGAATGCTAAACGTGTCTCTGCATACAAAAAATGCACCCGACAGCGATTTGGTCCTTCTGTTTATCGCTTACAAGTTTTTTATCGCTTCATACTGAGTTTATGGAGGGGGGGGGCAGGTTTGGCTAGCTTCGTCTTATTGTATTATGGTGCCTAACGGGTTTTATCGCTACAGGCGCTACAGGTGTTGAAAATTGAGGGTTTTTTAGAGGACTGTCAATTAGAGAAATGCTAGTTGATGGACTAGGTGTTTGGAACGGAACACAGCTTCGCAGGAGTCTGCCTGGAGCTATTTTGGGGGTAAATAAGAAAGGAATGAGCCGCGGAAACAACAAGTGGTGGGTTACATTGCCGTCGCAGCACAAACACTTCAACTCAAAGTCAGCTATGATGGCAACAACCTCCAACAGTAGGAGAGTTCAGTTCGAAAGAGAGTACACTAAAAGTGAGTCAATTGTTTTTGTTTTCAAATAATAAGACGGGGAAAAGGGGAACGTTGATGATAATTTCTTGCTGATTTGTTTTGCATTATGCTGATTATGCGAGATAGTGATAATAGGAGAATCAAGCGGCAAAATTTTTATATTTTTTCAAGAGTCGATGAAAGAAGTTAAGACTCTTCTATTGGTCGCGATGAATTTTTTGTTTTTCAGGAAATTCTCAAAATTTGTGCAGGCTCAAATTTTATTCGCGGTTTGACTTATGCTTTCTTTTTAAGTTCAGTGCATTTCTATTGTTAAAAGGAAGGTAAACTTCACTATTGAACAGCGAAAGTGCAAAGGTCACGAAAAACGTGATCGACTTCTAGTTTATCAAAAAAGTGTCAAATAATTGTTTCCTGAAATTGAAAGAGCTTTAAGGCCATCTATTTTTTCCCGTGAAATTCGAAAGTGGAGTTTTTCAAAAAAATAAATCCATTTTTCTTCTGTTTTCTTTTAGCGTTCATTGCCTCTCTCTAACTTGCAAAAAAAATTTAAAGAAAATTGCGGCTTTTTTGCAGAATTAGAGAGCAATGCAAGAGCAATTAAATGAGGTCAAATATAGCAGTAAAATAAAATGAGGTCGAACATTGAGTTTCAGTACAATTTTTCTCGAATTTTTAAAAACTGTATAAAAACAATTTCGTAAACCATTTCACGGGTGAAAGAGGTCTTATCTGATACTCCACTTAATTGACCCCCTGCGAGTTTTTTTCAGACAATCGAAATGGGGAAGAAAAATTCAACCTTGTCGTGCAGTGGTTGGAACAATACTGACATAATAATTCTGAATGACGAAATTAATTGATGGTTAGCACGAAACATCATTACGACTGCTGAGCTCATTTGTATCTCTGTTAAATTGAAATTACAAAGATGGAATAAATCTCTGGTTATAGTGGCATTGGTTTTTCGACATCCAAACTGGGCAAATGTTGACAAGATTACTCGTTGTGTTGTTGATTAAGGTAGCATGTCGTTTCGCACGGAGAACATGTACACTCCTGGGGGAGGGATGGAGAGAGGACTGCCCAAGGACAAGGAGGAGATGCAGAAGATGAAGCAGGAGTACAAGAGACAGCTGCGAATCATATACCAAGTGAGTTGACACTGCTGACAAAGCAGAGATATAGTTGATCACAGAAGCTCAGATGGACAAAATAACATCAAAGCGGCACACTTTTTTCAACACTTTTGCCAAGCACTTTTGAACCATTTGAGTGGTGTTTACGAGTCGATGAACATAGTTCAGATTCATATAGAGGTCGTGATGATTTCGTTTATTTTTTCAGGAAAAGTCTTATAGTTGGTTCAGGCTCATATTTACTTTTTCGCGGTTTGACTTTTGATTTCTTCAAGTTCAGTTCTTTTCATTTGTTAAAAGGAAGGCAAACTCCACTATCGAACAGCAAAAGTGTTAATGTCACGAAAAAGGTGATCGACTTCCAATCGTGATCGGGAATCGGGATAAACGTGATCGGGAATTAGACTTTTTCTAGGAAACAGGTTTTAAATGTGTGAGAGTTTGTCAAGTTGTCAGGGTGCCAGCAGAGATAGATTTTGAGCATATCGGCATTTCGAATTTGAACTTTATTAGAAGTTTATGTGGATTTCGATCGTAAACAATTTTGGACTTTTGTAGATGTGCGATAAACAAGGGTATTGCAACAGGGTGCTACACTTTTTACTCGCAAAAAATTTTTGTTCACAGGAAGACTGAAATAGGTGATCATCTCCATGCCTGGACCTTTGTCAGCTAACACAGATATTCTGAGCATGTCTGCAATTTAAGCAACCGTTTAATTCAAAATTTGTTTTAGTGGTGATTGTAAGTTTACCTTCTGTTTCCTTGCATTAGTTGACTTGTTGTTCCGGTTTTCGATACGAAAGTAACGGAATATTTGTGCTCGGGGTGGGTTTTTTTTTCTTCAGACAAATTTCGACTTTTTAACTAGCCATTTTTGACGGAATTTTTTTTATATCATTCAAAAGGTATTGTTGTCCTGAGCTTACATTTGAAAAGATATTTCACCTGTGATCTATTTTCGTAAAGTTATGGGGGTTTAAAGATTGCCAATTTGGGATAATTAACGCGCGATATATTTCGCGCTATTAACGCGTAAGCGGAGATTTAATCCGTCTTAGAAATCGTTCCAAGTTGCCATAATTGATTTGTTACAAGGAGCGAAATCTATCCTTTTGTACTTTTTATGGCGTGTGGGGGGATGATTTTCGTTAAAAAATTTCAAATTTTAGAAAAAAAAATTTTCATTTTATTTTATTACATTTTATTTTTATAGGTTATTACTGCTCCTTAAACGTTAAAAGGCAATCGGAACATTCAGGGCTTCGCCCTGATAAGAGCAGTCTTGTTTACATTTAACGTTTGGATATTTTTTCTGTATTGGATTCACAGGGTACATTTTTAAAAGTCGGTCGATGAACGTAGCTCAGGATCTTATATAGGTCGTGATGATTTTTTCTCTTCGTTTTTTTAACGAAACGTCTTAAAATTTGTTTAGGGTCAAATTTACTTTTTCCCATAAATTTGCTTTGTATCAAATTCATTTTTTTTGTTAAAAGAAAAGCTAACTCCTTTATTTGAACTGCATAAATGTAAAGGTCACTAAAGTGTGATCGACTTCTAGTTTCGAAAGTGGATTTTAGTTTTAAGATTTACCAGCGAAATTTAAAATTAATTGATCCAGTTTGCTTAAATTGGGCTAATTTTATCAAAAAAGTGTCAATCATATTTGTTTTAGAAATTCGAAGAGCTTTAAAGCCATCTTTTTCTTTGAAATTCAAAAGTTGCGGTGTTTTTGAAAAAAAAATAAATCACTAGTTTTTTCTTTCCATTTGCGTTCATTGACTCTTTTCCAACTGACTATTTGCTGTTTTTGTAACTAAATATATTCATTAATTTTTTTCGGCTCTAGAATTTTTGGCTTTTTTACAGCTTCGTCAGTTTTGTTTCGATGCTAATTCAAAGTTTACTTTTCTTATGTTGTATGTTTTTCTGAAAATTGTTAATACAAATCGATACAAAGTATTGAAACTGTTGCTAGTTTTGTTGTAGGCTTTTTCAAAAAATGGTTATGCTTTGCGGCTTTTTGTCATTTTCTGTCGAATAGTGTTGTATGGCATTGTATGTTTGTGTAATAATGTAGTTGTTGCCAAGCTCTGCTTCGCCTCTGTGTAATATAGTTCCCAATCTTTTCACTTGCGAGATCAAGTGACTTGTATAAACCCGCGTCTCTTAACACCCTGTTTTTTTACTCCATGTCAACCAGTAACCGCATTGAAATTTAGCACTTGTTTAATACCATCTTAAGAGTCAAATTGAAACGTACTTTAAAGTGATTCGGAACCATAGCCACGGTAAACAACATCAGAGCTTAAATTGAGATATTTTTGCTAGAAAATTGAGAGCTTCTACGCAACTAAATGCTCTTTAGTTTTAAACAGAAAGACCTTGCCTTGCCGATCGTCTTGGATTTTACATGAACTTGAAAAGTAATTCGACCGGCAAGATTCAAATTCATAACCGAAGAAGATTCATAACAGATTTTCCCCAATTTGAACATGGTCTTTGAACCAAGACCTGCCAATAATAGTCTTTTTGACTCGAACTAATTGAATAATTGAATCGTTTTGTTTTCGGGTTTTAGATAGTTTTTGTAGCCTGTAACTACTTGTTTTTTGTGACTTCGGAAGATAAGTTAAAACGGAAGGACGCTTCAAATATTGTAACTTGTAGAATGGTACAACAATGTCCTACGTGTAGGTCAGAAGATTTTATATAAAAGCTGAAAACGTCAATTGTTGCGTTCAATTAGCATCATTAAATTTATCTCTGTTTTAAGCGCGTGAATGAGGGTTTATTTTCATAGTTAATTGATTGAAGAGCAATGAGTAGCTACATGCATCAAATGAATTGAGAATTCTTTTTTGCTCAAACTGTTTAAACGGGATTCGGCTAATCGTATATTGGATTGCTCCCCTCAAGTTGTGGCATTTGAAGGGCGAAAATAGTTTTTATTCTTGTGTGTGCTGAGAAGTGTGCGAATCTTAAACTTCGAAGATTTTTGTCTCTGACATCTGTGTTATGATAGCTCAGGTTATAAATAGATTATAATAATATCGGTATTGTGCAACAGTTATTGAAGATTGAAAGCATGTTATAATAAGGAAACAAAATTAGTAATTGTTTGTGTTCTCAGTGGATGCAGAATTTGACCGAGGTTGAGATGGGCGAGACACTTGGATCTCTAGTTATGAGTGCACCTGAGGGGGACCTCAGACTTCTCACTTCGTGTTTAGTGCAGCGACACAACGAGAGATATGACGTCAACCAGCTCACAGATTCACTACTCCTCCAAGTATTCCAATATCTCCATCCGAGGGACTTGTCGAATACTGCACAAGTGTGCACACGGTGGAACTACTTGGCTAATTTAGACCCGCTTTGGCAGTACCATTGTCTCAATTTAGGTAAGCTTTGTTCGCGAGAACGTTAAGATCGTAATAAAATGACTGCAAAACAATGACTGACAGGGATTTCATGTTTATGTCGAAAAGTTCAATACGCTCAATCAAAAGCTCCCTCATTTCATCCTTAAAATATTCTCATGCTGATTTTAGTTTTGATATGCTTTGCTTCTGTTTAGGCTAGGTGTTTGAGTTTGGAAGATTCATCTTCCAAAATTACATCTAGTCAAAGAATAGGCGTTTAATCAGTTGGGAGTTTTTCCTAGCTGTAGAAAAGCGCCCACATTTCAATAAAAAAGTTTCTTCATGCTGCTAGTAGTTTCTATTTTTGTTTTCTTTAGGCTAGGTGTTTGAGTTTGGAAAATTCATCTTCCAAAATTACATCTAGTTAAAGAATAGGCGTTTAATCAGAGATGGGAGTTTTTTCTAGCTATAGAAAAGCGCCCACATCTCAATAAAAAAGTTTCTTCATGCTGCTAGTAGTTTCTATTTTTGTTTTCTTTAGGCTAGGTGTTTGAGTTTGGAAAATTCATCTTCCAAAATTACATCTAGTCAAAGAATAGGCGTTTAATCTGAGTTGGGAGTTTTTCCTAGCTGTAGAAAAGCGCCCACATTTCAATAAAAAAGTTTCTTCATGCCGCTAGTAGTTTCTATTTTTGTTTTCTTTAGGCTAGGTGTTTGAGTTTGGAAGATTCATCTTCCAAAATTAAATCTAGTCAAAGAATAGGCGTTTACTCAGAGTTGGGAGTTTTTCCTAGCTGTAGAAAAGCGCCCACATTTCCATAAAAAAGTTTCTTCATGCTGCTAGTAGTTTCTATTTTTGTTTTCTTTAGGCTAGGTGTTTGAGTTTGGAAAATTCATCTTCCAAAATTACATCTAGTCAAAGAATAGGCGTTTAATCTGAGTTGGGAGTTTTTCCTAGCTGTAGAAAAGCGCCCACATTTCAATAAAAAAGTTTCTTCATGCCGCTAGTAGTTTCTATTTTTGTTTTCTTTAGGCTACGTGTTTGAGTTTGGAAAATTCATCTTCCAAAATTACATCTAGTCAAAGAATAGGCGTTTAATCAGTTGGGAGTTTTTCCTAGCTGTAGAAAAGCGCCCACATTTCAATAAAAAAGTTTCTTCATGCTGCTAGTAGTTTCTATTTTTGTTTTCTTTAGGCTAGGTGTTTGAGTTTGGAAAATTCATCTTCCAAAATTACATCTAGTTAAAGAATAGGCGTTTAATCAGAGATGGGAGTTTTTTCTAGCTATAGAAAAGCGCCCACATCTCAATAAAAAAGTTTCTTCATGCTGCTAGTAGTTTCTATTTTTGTTTTCTTTAGGCTAGGTGTTTGAGTTTGGAAAATTCATCTTCCAAAATTACATCTAGTCAAAGAATAGGCGTTTAATCAGAGTTGGGAGTTTTTCCTAACTGTAGAAAAGCGCCCACATTTCAATAAAAAAGTTTCTTCATGCTGGTAGTAGTTTCTGTTTTTGTTTTCTTAGGCTAGGTGTTTGAGTTTGGAAAATTCATCTTCCAAAATTAAATCTAGTCAAAGAATAGGCGTTTACTCAGAGTTGGGAGTTTTTCCTAGCTGTAGAAAAGCGCGCACATTTCAATAAAAAAGTTTCTTCATGCTGCTAGTAGTTTCTATTTTTGTTTTCTTTAGGCTAGGTGTTTGAGTTTGGAAAATTCATCTTCCAAAATTACATCTAGTCAAAGAATAGGCGTTTACTCAGAGTTGGGAGTTTTTCCTAGCTGTAGAAAAGCGCCCACATTTCAATAAAAAAGTTTCTTCATGCTGCTAGTAGTTTCTATTTTGGTTTTCTTTAGGCTAGGTGTTTGAGTTTGGAAAATTAATCTTCAAAAATTACATCTAGTCAAAAAATAGGCGTTTAATCAGAGCTGGGAGTTTTTCCTAGCTGTAGAAAAGCGCCCACATTTCAATAAAAAAGTTTCTTCATGCTGCTAGTAGTTTCTATTTTTGTTTTCTTTAGGCTAGGTGTTTGAGTTTGGAAAATTCATCTTCCAAAATTACATCTAGTCAAAGAATAGGCGTTTACTCAGAGTTGGGAGTTTTTCCTAGCTGTAGAAAAGCGCCCACATTTCAATAAAAAAGTTTCTTCATGCTGCTAGTAGTTTCTATTTTTGTGTTCTTTAGGCTAGGTGTTTGAGTTTGGATAATTCATCTTGAAAAATTACATCTAGTCAAAGAATAGGCGTTTAATCAGAGCTGGGAGTTTTTCCTAGCTGTAGAAAAGCGCCCACATTTCAATAAAAAGGTTTCTTCATGCTTCTAGTAGTTTCTATTTTTGTTTTCTTTAGGCTAGGTGTTTGAGTTTGGAAAATTCATCTTCCAAAATTACATCTAGTCAAAGAATAGGCGTTTACTCAGAGTTGGGAGTTTTTCCTAGCTGTAGAAAAGCGCCCACATTTCAATAAAAAAGTTTCTTCATGCTGCTAGTAGTTTCTATTTTTGTTTTCTTTAGGCTAGGTGTTTGAGTTTGGATAATTCATCTTCCAAAATTACATCTAGTCAAAGAATAGGCGTTTAATCAGAGCTGGGAGTTTTTCCTAGCTGTAGAAAAGCGCCCACATTTCAATAAAAAAGTTTCTTCATGCTGCTAGTAGTTTCTATTTTTGTTTTCTTTAGGCTAGGTGTTTGAGTTTGGAAAATTCATCTTCCAAAATTACATCTAGTCAAAGAATAGGCGTTTAATCAGAGCTGGGAGTTTTTCCTAGCTGTAGAAAAGCGCCCACATTTCAATAAAAAAGTTTCTTCATGCTGCTAGAAGTTTCTATTTTTGTTTTCTTTAGGCTAGGTGTTTGAGTTTGGAAAATTAATCTTCCAAAATTAAATCTAGTCAAAGAATAGGCGTTTACTTAGAGTTGGGAGTTTTTCCTAGCTGTAGAAAAGCGCCCATATTTCAATAAAAAAGTTTCTTCATGCTGCTAGTAGTTTCTATTTTTGTTTTATTTAGGCTACGTGTTTGAGTTTGGAAAATTCATCTTCCAAAATTACATCTAGTCAAAGAATAGGCGTTTAATCAGAGTTGGGAGTTTTTCCTAGCTGTAGAAAAGCGCCCACATTTCAATAAAAAAGTTTCTTCATGCTGCTAGTAGTTTCTATTTTTGTTTTCTTTAGGCTAGGTGTTTGAGTTTGGAAAATTCATCTTCCAAAATTACATCTAGTCAAAGAATAGGCGTTTACTCAGAGTTGGGAGTTTTTCCTAGCTGTAGAAAAGCGCCCACATTTCAATAAAAAAGTTTCTTCATGCTGCTAGTAGTTTCTATTTTTGTTTTCTTTAGGCTAGGTGTTTGAGTTTGGATAATTCATCTTCCAAAATTATATCTAGTCAAAGAATAGGCGTTTAATCAGAGTTGGGAGTTTTTCCTAACTGTAGAAAAGCGCCCACATTTCAATAAAAAAGTTTCTTCATGCTGCTAGTAGTTTCTATTTTTGTTTTCTTTAGGCTAGGTGTTTGAGTTTGGAAAATTCATCTTCCAAAATTACATCTAGTCAAAGAATAGGCGTTTACTCAGAGTTGGGAGTTTTTCCTAGCTGTAGAAAAGCGCCCACATTTCAATAAAAAAGTTTCTTCATGCTGCTAGTAGTTTCTATTTTTGTGTTCTTTAGGCTAGGTGTTTGAGTTTGGATAATTCATCTTCCAAAATTATATCTAGTCAAAGAATAGGCGTTTAATCAGAGTTGGGAGTTTTTCCTAACTGTAGAAAAGCGCCCACATTTCAATAAAAAAGTTTCTTCATGCTGCTAGTAGTTTCTATTTTTGTTTTCTTTAGGCTAGGTGTTTGAGTTTGGATAATTCATCTTCCAAAATTATATCTAGTCAAAGAATAGGCGTTTAATCAGAGTTGGGAGTTTTTCCTAACTGTAGAAAAGCGCCCACATTTCAATAAAAAAGTTTCTTCATGCTGGTAGTAGTTTCTGTTTTTGTTTTCTTAGGCTAGGTGTTTGAGTTTGGAAAATTCATCTTCCAAAATTACATCTAGTCAAAGAATAGGCGTTTAATCAGAGCTGGGAGTTTTTCCTAGCTGTAGAAAAGCGCCCACATTTCAATAAAAAAGTTTCTTCATGCTGCTAGTAGTTTCTATTTTTGTTTTCTTTAGGCCAGGTGTTTGAGTTTGGAAAATTCATCTTCCAAAATTACATCTAGTCAAAGAATAGGCGTTTACTCAGAGTTGGGAGTTTTTCCTAGCTGTAGAAAAGCGCCCACATTTCAATAAAAAAGTTTCTTCATGCTGCTAGTAGTTTCTATTTTTGTGTTCTTTAGGCTAGGTGTTTGAGTTTGGATAATTCATCTTCAAAAATTACATCTAGTCAAAGAATAGGCGTTTAATCAGAGCTGGGAGTTTTTCCTAGCTGTAGAAAAGCGCCCACATTTCAATAAAAAGGTTTCTTCATGCTGCTAGTAGTTTCTATTTTTGTTTTCTTTAGGCTAGGTGTTTGAGTTTGGAAAATTCATCTTCCAAAATTACATCTAGTCAAAGAATAGGCGTTTACTCAGAGTTGGGAGTTTTTCCTAGCTGTAGAAAAGCGCCCACATTTCAATAAAAAAGTTTCTTCATGCTGCTAGTAGTTTCTATTTTTGTTTTCTTTAGGCTAGGTGTTTGAGTTTGGATAATTCATCTTCCAAAATTACATCTAGTCAAAGAATAGGCGTTTAATCAGAGCTGGGAGTTTTTCCTAGCTGTAGAAAAGCGCCCACATTTCAATAAAAAAGTTTCTTCATGCTGCTAGTAGTTTCTATTTTTGTTTTCTTTAGGCTAGGTGTTTGAGTTTGGAAAATTCATCTTCCAAAATTACATCTAGTCAAAGAATAGGCGTTTACTCAGAGTTGGGAGTTTTTCCTAGCTGTAGAAAAGCGCCCACATTTCAATAAAAAAGTTTCTTCATGCTGCTAGTAGTTTCTATTTTTGTTTTCTTTAGGCTAGGTGTTTGAGTTTGGATAATTCATCTTCCAAAATTATATCTAGTCAAAGAATAGGCGTTTAATCAGAGTT